ATTGGTATTCTGTGGCGTAACACACACACACATGCACGCAGACACTCACTCAGCTGTAAATGTACAGACGCTTCCTGTAGCACACAGGCTTCAACGTGGATAGGTACACACAATATAAATGCAAATGCACACAGACAAGCATGGCATGCACACCCACAAAACTATTCTCACACTTTTTCTCAATCTCTGTACCCTAACTCATCTCACCCTGTCCGTCTAAACGTGGAGTGAGGGGGTGGGGTGGGGTGAGGGTGGATGCGGCGTTTGGACCTGCCACACGTCAGCGTTCATTTTTCATCCTATTCCTCCTTCCAGTCCACTGTATGCATCCTAATCAGGGCCAGCAGAGTGCAAGATGCTGTCTGTCTGTCAGTTGTAACACCACAGGCTGGCCGACTGGCTGGCATCAAGCCTGGAGGTGTGAAATGAGCCCACTGGGGGCTATAGTCTGGCTTCAGCACTAGTCAAACAGCTCTGGACATCATGAGAGAGATGGGGAGGGGGCAGACTGAGTGCAGTGAGGTGGAGGCGAAAGAAAGAAAGAAACAGCCGAAACGAAAGATCGTGAGCGGGAGGAGAAAGAACAAAGGAGTGAGGGAGGAAGAGAGAAGATAGGGGCCAACTCGTCTGGAGAATGAGGGAGAGAGGAAAAAGGAGGGAGGAAGATGGATAGAGCGGGAGGATGAGAGATGGAGAGACATGGCTCATCTGCTTCTGCTTTCTGCAGGCTGCGAGATTGCAGGATTTCCTAGATCAGCCAACTGTGGAAGTGAATTTTTCCCCTGCTTGTCTCCTCTCACTCCCTCTCTTCCTCCGCCTCTCTCTCGCACTTTCTCCCTCTCCCTCGTCTTCTCTGTCCCTCCCGTCTCTTCCCTGTCACTGAGCAATGGATTAAATTCCTATTTCCTCGCCAGTGCTGTTGTGATATCAGATTATACTCCCTTATCCTCTGTCTGTCTGTCTTCTTATAACTACATGTCTCTCCATTGTCACTATATTAAATCCTTTTGGAAATCAAAACATGGTATCTTTTAGAGGCAAGATACAGTAGATGCATTAAGGGCCGAGTTGTATCTACTTATGTTGTACAGTAGTAAGATATATAAGGGTGGGAAATCTAGTAATATATGACCTCTTATCTGTGATAAATACAATGTAAAATAAATAAATTTTATTTTTGCGTTTGAGACGGTGCTTAAGGATGGTTACAAGGCTTGGTCGGATGGTCAGTTCACTGATCCACAAGTTGATTTCTTTGGCAATTGCAGCCGGAAATTCCTCATTTTTTAAGGTGGATGTTTTTCTAGTTTAATATCCACTGACTTTGTGTCTGCCAGTTATAGGACAGATGGGGAAATAGGACATGCAAGTTTTCTGTAAGATACTGAGAAGTCAATAGCTCAATAGCATGTTTCAACAAATGTTCGTCTTGAATAGCTGATTCAGTGATAACATTATTTTACAGCACTACTGGTTCCACACATGTATGCATTTGAAACATGGATTTTCCATGTGTCTGGGACAAGGGCTTCTCAGCAGTAGGTAGTTACATGTTTTTGCATCCTTACTGAACTCTGTACCAGTCTGTGTGAAATCCATCAGTTAAGCTCCATTAGAAGGCGTCGCCTGGATATAAAAATCTCTCCAAAACTCTCTACATTTTTCTCTGAGAGTGAGTGCTTCAGACAGTTGAGAGAATAACTAAGTATCTATCTATCTCTATTTTGAAGTAGCCTGTACAAAGAATTGCTAGTAAATTATACTCTACCTTTGGGGGAAACTAGTTTTCTGCCTTTGATGCAATCAAATTCAGGAGCAGTAGTTCACGGCAGAACGCCCAGGGATGTAAGGTCACTGCGTTTAACCTCGACTCGTAAGGGCAATGGAAGGAGTCCGGCATACCCAGCATGCCTGGAAACCAGAGTACCCAGAAGAAACTTGAACATGAAGAAAACATGTAACCTCCACAAGGACACGTTTTCACGTTTGATCCAAGGACCTTCTTGCTGTGAGGTGACATTGCTAACAACTGCACCATTGTGCAACATCATGCTGCCCAGTAGCCATCGGTAATAACTTATAATCACAATATTGATCAAAATTACATGAAAAATGCTCATGCGTACTCACAAAGAATGTGATGGCAAGTAACCCAAGGGCCTGCTGAGTAAAGCTGTAAGCTAGTGACAAGTGGTTAGTCTCAGCCATTTCATATCTGGCGAGCTGTCAAAACCCAAAGCCAGCTCCCCATCTAGATTACAGTTTGCCAGCCTTCCTCCATCCATCTCTCTCTTCCTCTGGACGGATGGACAGCAGATTAGGCCTGGTTCCACTGCAGTATGTTACACCCCATCCTGCACTAAGTGACCTATGATTAATTGCACATTATTAACTTAACTGAGATTGTTCTCCAGATACGTAGGCGTCGATAATGTCTGATTCCTCTTTAATAGGCCACTTCTGACAGTATTCATAATGTGCCATTTGCCCTGATCCCTCCCTAATGTATTCCTGCTTTGTGAAAATTCCACTAATTTAGGGGTGGAGGAAATGGGCCAAAGGGAACGGCGGATCAGAAGTGAGATGATTCTCCTGTCGGTTAGTTAGCCCACAGGCACAGGCTGATGCCTTTTGGGGATGTAGGAAAAAAGCAAAGTTTGTTGATGTGTGAAATCCCCATTCTGGGCTTTTTCAAGATGAAGATAGACAGACTTCAGTTACTTTTTGTTTCAGTCTCACCAGATATTTTAGAAATTATACTGTGTATATATGGATTACTGCTGGTATCCCATTTCCCTATTGTGAATTGTTTATTTTTCTGAGTAAAGGCTTTTACGCTGTTAATGACTTGGGGTGATATTCACACATGCAGTGATGCAGAACAGGTTGGAGCAGAAGTTGTAAATTAAAAGGAACAAATCTGGCATATTACTCTTAATTAAATTCACAAGTGACTTAATAAATCATTTTCCCTTTTAGTTTCATGCATGCTAATCGTACAAGTTGATGAGCAGTGTGAGTGGTGTCTAATGGATGTTACTTATTTTATTTTGAGCCTGCTGTATTTGTAGAGCATTGTATGTTTCTTGCAATTTTTCCACTGTCAGTTTCCTTCTCACCCTCTCAGCCACCAGCCTTACTCTCTCCAACCTCTTATCTCACCACAGCCACATACACTGGATCTCCAAACTGATGTGCTTGCTGCTGTCAAACACAGTCCACCGAAACACACCAGTTGACCATCTTCTTCTTCACCTTTGGTAATCTTCCTCTCTCCGGTCTGTTGTGGTCATAAACCAATACACTCTATATCTCCAAATGAGGTGTCCACACAAGACTGAGCTCATGGCATGTTTGGTAGATCACCCAAGCCCCCACATAGACCCACACCAACCTGACACACACACTAAAACCAATACACACACACACACACACACACACACACTTTCCCATCTGTCCACCAGTATCTCTCTAATCCCCCTTCTTTCCCTGTCAGGTGTGTTTCAGTTTGTGTGATTTTGTGTTTATACGTGTATGTATGTGTGTTGTGAAAAGCAGCAGGGTTTATCTTCTGTCTCTGTGTGATGTGGCACAAACAAAGGCAGTGTCCATGCGGCCCCAGCCTGCGCTGCAGCAGCACTGTAAACACTGTGCCACTACAAAGGGAAAACCCGCACCGCCTGCCTGCCTGAGTAAATCCCACTGCTTTTACCAATTAACACCAGGGGAGAAACTCACCGCTTGTGTGCTGTCTGCTCTGGTGTGTACCAGTAGAAAGAGGCTGTCGGAGAGAGAGGGAGGCAGACATAGAGAAGGAGAGAGAGGGAAAACATATTGCTTAGCAGTATAGCAATTGTGGTACAATATGCCGGAGCTGACGTTTATGACTGTTTAGATAGCCATAACCACAGCAGGTGGTGATGTTAATAATGCTGTGTTGACATTAGCCCAGGTGGGAATATGTCAGCATTGGGTCGCCACCGCCTAATTGCCACTTCTATTGTTGTGTAATTAATGCTTAATTAGGAAGCTTGCTTCAATCAGCGGTGGGGTCGTTAAGAGAGGTGTTGCATGCGCTATAAACAAATGTTACCTTTATGAATGCAAATCGAGCTGCTATTTTTTTTTCTTGTGCCCTCTTTTTGTCCTTGTGCCACCAAGCATAAGGAGCGAGCGTACCGAGGCATCCATCTTGAGCTGGATGTGGGTGCTAAAAGGATTGAACGGGAACAAGGTTTCTCTCATGCTGCTTTGCACTACAGCTGAGTTGGTATTTTGTCTCTTTGTGTATCTTTTTTTTTTTTTTTCTTTCGAAGGCAGCTTCGATGTGGTTTATTATGTGCTATGGATTGTTATTTGGAGATGGATCCCCCATGCCACCATACTATCATCTAACCTATGAAGGGAGGGTGGGAGGGGCAAGGAGGCGATGTTATGGTGGGTGTGGGGTGGGGTGGGGGTGGGGGTGGGGGTACAGTCAGTGGAGAAAGGGCTATGTGTGTACAGGGGGGTAAAGCATAGTTGGGGGAGGAGAGGCAGAGAGAAGAGAGAGCATGCAGCGTGCAGCTGCAAGAGGCAAAGATGAGCGGAGGCGTGAAATTGGCACTGCACCGTCCACCACCCACAGCCCCTCCTCAATCTTAACCTACCACCCGTTCGCCTGCCCCCTCCACTCCATTCCACCAAGGAAGAGACCGTGTCTGCACCGACTATGGCACTAGAGTTTGTGTGTGTGTGTGTGTGTGTGTGTGCGTTGTGTGTTGTGTGTCTGTACCCTAGGAAGCTACGTATGACACTCTGTTTGCCATGCCCAAGTGATGCATTCTCTCATTCTCTCCCATTATATATATATATATACATCTATTCGTTAATGCACACACCCACACGCACAAGCACACTTCACCCCACCCTCCCTGCCCCTCCTGTGGAGTGGTCATAACTCACCTTAATTGTATTTGGTAGGTGGTGCTCAGACGTAGAGTGCATGGTGAAATGTAGCTGAGACCATGAGAGAGCAGTAATGGGAGTGAGGGCAAGGTACTGGAAGGAGGGAAACGATCGACCTATTGGCCCCTGAAAACACACATTATGCATTTAGGTTGGACACACACACACTCGCATACACATGCTCACCCCCAGCAAGCATGAAAAGATACTCGTGAGCATTAAAGGTGGAACACACACATAACAACACTCTACCTCCAACACACATATATAGAGCACTTGTCCATTTTACGTACATGTACACACAATATTAGTTGTTCATGAATGCAGATGTGCATAAAGGAATTATTGCACCTCTTCTCCTTTATTCAACCTTTTCCTGGGCTGTTTGTGTATGCTGAGGACCTTGAGATGTCCCAGTCAGGACTATATGGAACTCTATGCGCACAATAAAAATGCAAATAACATTTTTGCTGCTTATATGCATTTAATCTGCCAAAAGAATTTCAGACATCACACAGACACAGTCATACTTTTAAACGTGTCTATACACAAGCATGCACATACACACACACACACACAAACACAAACACACACTTTCTCCTCCTGGACAGCCTTGTTAATCAGTGTCATAGTAAATCAGAGGCCTGGGGTGTGAGGGTGGGGAGCATAATAAGCTCATCTGGCCGCTGAGAAGGTTTTCTCTGCTGCTGTGTTGACTGGTTTCAGGTAATTAAAGCAGCAGCCACAACTGTGCTGTCCAGTCCCCTGCGAGTCCTCCATTGTCACTCCATTAGCAACTAACCTGGAGAACCTGCATTCAGGTTGACACACACCAAAGAAAGCCAGTATGACACTAATCAACTGTGCGGGGAGTCTATTGGAGGAACTAATATACGGTATTTATCTGAACATGTCCAAGGGAGAAGGATGAAAAGGGATGGTATACAACCAGAAATCTCCTCATGAATCACCTTCATACGAGTGGATCATAAGAGACAATGCAAAGAATCCAATAACTGAATTGTTCATCATATTACTGTGTTTACTGAATTGAACAAATTATACATTATATGCACACTGTTACTTGTTAAGCATATCATGACAGAAGCAAATAATATTAAAGCTGTATTAATTAAGTATTTTTATATTACTGTTGAATCAATATATCCTGTAAAGTGAAAGAGTTCACTTACTGTAATGAATTCACAATTATAACCCAATTATTTTTAGCCTCTTTTAGCAGTTGCTTCAATGTCTGGCACATTTACCAAATGGTTGAGTCTTACCCACTCTGTATTACCTTCTCAGCACCAAATGGCAGACACACACACACACACACACACACACACACACACACACACACACACACACACACACACACACACACACACAGAGTTTGCAACTACCCGGTGACAGCGGAGCATTTAGCTGCTATATAACCTGATGTTACCCTCAGGAGTTGGTGGAGACCAAAAACAGAGCCAAAAGAGAGTAAATACTGAACTTACACTTGCCAGGAACACAACTGCTCCGTAAGTGCTGAATGGGTAAATAAACGTTCACTATATCACCTTAAAAGGCGATGATATGTCAATTTGTTGTCAGCTTCTTTTCACTACCCCTAAGTGGCCAAAAAAACTGTTATTGCAGGTTTAATAATAGAGCAATAAAAACAGGTGGCTGGAAACATATCACATTGTCATATCCAAAGTCACTGGAGTTTTCCATTTTCCATGTGGATTAATCAGAGAAACCATAAACCACCGCAAAAGTTTGAAAACCTGAACATACAGTGTATGTTCTATATATGTATATTGTTGTAATGTATGTATATGTATAGTTTAACTATGGATGTTTGTATACATCATGTGTACATGTGTCTAAAGGACATGGTGTAGATCTGCTTTCCATTTTTCCCCATCTTTAATGGAGGGTACGGGTGGGAGTGGGGGCTGGGGGGTAGTGGACAACGTGTGCTTCCATCAGACAAGGGCTAGTAATGAGAAGCCAATTGACTTTCCATTGCAGCCCTCAGCAGTCAAGAAGAAAAAGAACAAACCTCTCTATTGTTATCTCTTACTCCTCCTCTTTCATCCCTCCCTCAATGGTCAAAAAAAGGAAGGTAATTCCAGCCGGGTCCCACTTCACACCTTCAATTTGTCTTTTGCTGCACCCAACCATGCTCTCCCTCCCTCCTCCTGTCTTCTCCTTTCTCCACTGCCCCCCCTCCTTTGCATGTCTCCTTCTTTCCATCTATCTTTCTGTCTCACTCTGTCACTCGCCCTCTCTCTCTCTCTCTCTCTCGCTCCCTCCCTCCCTCTCTCTCTCTTTCCCTCTCTCCTGGTGCAAGGTGATGGAGGCGGGTGTGTGTGGGTCTCTGAGAGCACGCCTCAGGGATTATACAGCCCGCTCGCATGAAAGATTCATGATGCTTGGGAGTGTGTGTGTGTGTGTGTGTGTGTGTGTGTGTGTATATATATATGTGGGTCGCTCGCGTTCAGGCACTGACTGGAAAAAGGGAACAGGGAGAGACAGAGAAAAAAGGAAAGAGGGTGGGGGGATGGAGGGTACAGAGTGTGAGACAAATTGACGGTGCACAGCAGGGCTAACACTCCAGGTTGCGATTATACCACTGGCTTCTTTGCGCACACTTTTAGACGCCATCTTGCTGAGGCCTGCCTTACAGAAATGATCAATGACAAAAGTTTGGAACAGAAATGTGCATAACAGCGGTGTGCAGTGAAAAACATGTATCTCCAAATTTGTGGATTTTGATTCTTTCAGTTATGTTAGTAAGTTGATATTTTTGAGATCCTGTATATGGCAGAGGTCCTCATGATCCAGAATGGACCCAAAACCTACCCAAAGCTGAGGTGCATAAATTCATTTTCAAAGGAGAGAGACACAATCCAAAGAGGACCCAAGCACAGTCAGACCAAATCCAGAGAATAATAGGTTCAGTTCAGAGGGCAGTCGACCTGAACAGAACCTAATAGAGAGGGAACTCCAGCACCAGTAGCAGAATGATGCTCTATCAATTAACAGTGCAGCCGCAGTAAAAAAAAAGAAAAAAAAAGCAGAAATATAATAATAATATCTTAAGAATTAATGGTAATAGAAAATAATTTCAAAAACAATCTGTACATATACGCATTAAAGATTTACACTTACAGAAGATAATCATTTTCTATTAATATCTGTGAATCAAAATTTTGTCATTTAATAGTGTAAATCTTTTACATAGGCTTCTTTTCTGAAATAGTTCTCTCATGGTGATTATGATGAACCATGTGCTGCCCTGAGCCTATACTGATGTATCCTCACATTTATTATGATCCTCTGTGCTATTAGACCCAACACAACACAATTAAACTGAGTATAAGTCTGACCCAGGCCAACTTGGGCCCGAGGTAAAGTTGTGGTTCCTCAGGACCAACTGGCCCCATGAAGACCTCTAATATATTATACAACAATATGCAGCTGCCACTGTACAAATACAAATAAGTTGACCTGTGTAAATCCAACCTTAAGTTACTTTTCATAGAACTATGCAGCTGTTCAGACCAAAAATAGCACTGTGATAAAAATCGCAAAGGTCTGCATTGGTGTGGGTGTATTGCTACTGGTTCTGATGAGATGAAATGCAATCCAGAAGTTCAGTTTGAGTGACACATCCATGAGAACACTACACAGCAGTTTATTATACTCTGAAACAACAAGTAACTACCAGGAGAGTACACCTACCAGAGCCCTGTGCGTCAGCACCCCTACTGTGCCAACTCACTGACATAAATGAGGAGGCTGTGTTTTTTAATGCAGTAATAGTCGTCTGGATTGAGTTTAACAGATGGAAATACACATACAAATACACCTGCTCCGTTTCTTTCAGTAAATAGCTTCTTGTGCCATCATTTACTGTTTGCAAATGAAATATGTGTGGTGAAGCTTGTTGCAGACCAATGCAAGCATTTAATTGTGGGTGATGTGCAGGAAGTGGCCACAAATGACCAGGAGGAACAGTCACTATGACAATACAGCACAAAAAAAAACCACACAACTATAACAAGTGATAGAGTTAAGGAGGTTGGCGCACTCACAACTATCACTTTTCCCCTGTCCTCATGTTCTCTCTCTTTCTCTCTGTATGTAATGCCCTTCTTGCCAGGTCTATGCCAGGAAAGACAGGCTGGCACAATAAGTGCCATTTGCTACAGCCTCTCAGCCAGAGGAAGTGTGTCATTGCCAAGTGTCTATTGGTGTAGGACAACTCTATTCATGTGCCTTCACCTTGGCAGGCTGTCTGTGAGGGATGGGAGGAAGAGCGGTGTGTGTGTGTGTGTGTGTGTGCGCGTGCGTGTCTGTGTGTCTGTGTGTGTAGTGTGTAATGGGTATGTGTTTATGTAAACCTCACTGGATGCTCTAATAGCCCCTCACAAGCCTGTTCCCTCTTCCTCTCTACAGCATCTTCAAACACATTGCATTATTGCCGCTTTTGATTGCATTTCAGATTAGAGAGCACTAGTTCGAGGGAGCAAAGGAGTCAGATAGACAAGGATAGAGAGGAAGCGAAATGGTGGCAGAGAGAAAGAGATGGATGAGGATGACAGATATAGAGAATGTAGGAAGAGAGGAAGGGCAGATCAAGGGGAGCGACGACCAGACAGACAGACAGACAGCCTGGGAGGAGGAGGAGAGAGAGAGAGTTTAAATGAGAGACAGACAGAGAGAAAGGGGGAAACAGGAAAAGCAGAGAGAAAGAACCTCTGGGGGAGCGTATTATACGGCCGTTACCCCCCTCCGGTGCAGCAGCGAATGGGAGGAGCTGAGTACCCACTATTCCAGTGACCTTGGAGGTCAGTTGGAGGAAAGCAGCATTAATCAAACTGACGCCCAGGCTGAGGCGGATGATAGCAGGCAGCAATGCCCACAACAACAACCCTCCACCACCACCACCACCACCACGACACACACACTCACCCATCCATCAACACCACCTCCAACCCTCCTCACATACACATCTACCTCCTTCCACATTTATTAGCATTCTTTCTCTGCCTTCTTTTATTTTCTTTCTTTTTCTGTTGTTTTTTGCATATCACCCACCCTCTTCTCTTTCCCATCATCCA